TGGCTTGTTTTACAACGTCGTTGCCAAGCGACGAAAACCCAACCCCGATGGCAAACACCGAGGGGGGGCGTCGGGGGGTGATAGCGGGCGGGGCACGAGCACCAGGGGAGATTCACTGGATATGTCGATCTATGATCGCCATGTCTACGAGGAATTGGTGTAAGGGGGCTTGATGGTCGGGTGTCAATGGTAGAGTACCGTTGGGGATCTCGATATACTGAGACGGCATTGTGTTAGGTCTACCCAGTTAACATGGAAAGGAAACTTGGATTCTGGATGAGAGAGGGGAAGCGACTGGTGTCGCCTCCTCGTCAATTGCCAGCGAGTTATGTTCCGGACTTGGTGGAAAGTAACGTTAAAAATGACATTTGGGGGGAAAATACAAGTGCACGACCTCCCCGAGCTGCGCGGAACAGGAACCGTCACACGCAAGGATACCATGTCTTGTCTGAGAAAGTAGGCATAACTCTCTCCACGCTGCGATCGACAAGAAATAAACACATGTCGCAAAAGCGCAAACAGGTACAGCATGTACACGCGGCATGACCTGCCTCTACAGCAATTGTACTACAAAGCCATCTGCATAGCTCTCTCTCTCTCTCTCTCTCTCTCTCTCTCGTCTCTCTGTTTTGCTAATAGCTTCGACCGCGCTGTGTCTGCTGAGTGTGTGTGTTCTGCGCGTGTGCCGCGCGCTGGTCTTCGTGGGGAGTTGCTCCAGACCACACGAATAAGTTTCGCTCCGTCTCCGCATTTTCCGTTGGCGCGCGTTCCTCCGCAGCAGCGCGTTCCTCCGCAGCAGCACCAACCACTATATAAATGTACTGAAGTAGGAAGTACTTCGTATTCATAGGGTAGAAAGTGAAAAACAGCTCTCTCCCTGAGGGAGCAAAGCGAGCTTCAATTCAAGCGCCCTCTCGATCTCTATCTCGACGCGATTTTTCCTTGGAATACTTTGAGGTGTTCAGCACGGCACGTTAAGGGTTACGGAAAGGCTGGACAGGTGTGCCCTGGACTGGACCGTGTCGTCGATGAGTCTCTGCACCTCCCCTACAGCAGTAGATAAGAGCCGGATCACCGAAGGTACCATACGGCAGTGGGGCTCTCGGTTCAGGGACCCCCTGTTCAGCGACATGCCCTAATCAGTGACCACAAAATCACGTGGCACCGCCGCAGCCCGGTAGTATAACTGCTATGCTATAATATTGGTAGTTCGGTTTGGCGACCTGCCCTGAATAGCGGCCACATTTCGCCGTGACACTACTGCTGTACACATGTTCGGGTCGTTGACCCGGGGCCCTCACTGCTGGCGTGTGTAATATCCAGTCTACGCAAACGTCTTCATACTAACTGTACTTGGAAGAAAAAAGTGTACATAAATGAGTTGCAGGTCACTCACTCACCTCCGCTTCCAGTCCTTGAAGACGGCCCCTCTCTTCCCGCCCTTTTGACTAGTGTCTCGCAACCTCAGGTCCAAGTCTACGCCGCCGCCGCCGCCGCCGCCGCCGCCGCCTGCACCACCACCACCACCGCCCCCG